ATCATAATAATCGGTGTACTCATTGTCAAATGAGGTAGGAGCATCAAAGGGTTTATCTAGAAGGTACAGTCAAAGCCACCAAATGCATAACCGGGCCTCATCGTGTGCCTGTGTGTGCCCCAACATAAACGAAGATTGGAACCGAATCGAACCTTAGATATAAACACACAAATCAAGTTAACATGAGAATCCAGAATTTCAGTATTGCGGTTCTTGACCCGTCCTGCAATGTTTTTAATTTGCTCACAAAGTCGGCCTTATTCCAAAATGGTATGATATGTTGGGTTACGACCTCAAGGAGTAAAGTTGAAAAATTGACACACTAACACACTGATATTCGCAATTAATATATATATATATATATATATATATATATATATATATATATATATATATATATATATATATATGTATATTGTTGTTGTAGGATCCAACCTAATTTGTATAGTGGAGTACCGACCATATAAATATGGTTGGTACCGGGAAGAGAAGGAGGAATCAAGAGATTCACTCTCAGTCGAACTCTCTGCATTTTGCAGTGAGGGACCCGGACGAGGCTTTGCCGAGAGGCAGGGTTTCGTCCGGGGTTGTAGACAGGCCTTGAACCCGTCTAGGCGGGTCCAGAAAGGCCATATTTTTGGCCGAGCCTACGGGTTCGGAAATACCCACTTTAAACCGGCCTTGTGCCACATTTTATCCTCGTGGGTGGATAGATAAATACAGGAATCAAGAGATTCAACCAGAGACTCTGCTCGACTGCGACTCAGTCAACACATTCTCCAGGAACGGTCTTACCAGGAATATACAAAAGACTATATGTTAGTATTGTGTACACTTTCTTGTTCAATACATTTTGTTCTAAGTACATTTTGTGTTGCATTATTATTCCATGCATTAGTCAAGTTTCAACATATATATATATATATATATATATATATATATATATAGAGAGAGAGAGAGAGAGAGAGAGAGAGAGAGAGAGAGCATTGAATTAGCGAGAAAGATGCTTTAGCCAAAGCGAAGCAAAGTATTAAGAATATTTCTTCAGAAACAAGCGAAAGTGTACTGAACTGTTATGTAATATTGGTCACTTCATATGGCTGGAGAATTCTAGCAAATCTCCTCACAGATTAAGAAGAGACTCGAAGCAACAGAAATGTGGTTGTACAGCAGGATGATGAGAATACCATGGATTGATATGTGAGCAACCACGAAGCTTTTAGAAAAAATGCAAGCAAACAGGACACTTATACGCAGCATCGGAAAGAGACATTTGAAGGTTCTGGCGTACATAATGAGAAAAGAATGCTTGGAAAATTTGACACACACAGAATATACTAAAAGCAAGAGGGGCAGAGTGAGACTGTGAGTAAGCTACCAAACAAACTTGTGTAAATGGTTGGCAAAACAGGGATTAGGCGATATAGCAAAAATGACAACCTTTACTAAGAATAAGAAATTGTGGAGAGCCATAATCGTCCACGTTCTGAAGGGACACGCCACATAGAATATGTTACACGAGTAATACTATATTGAATTTCTAGACATCTCATTTTATGATGTTTTAAAATTTTAAAACAATTTTAGATATGAAGAGAATATATACATAAGATAGTTAATACATTGGGATAGATAGATAGATAGATAGATAGATAAATAGATAGATAGATAGATAGATAAGAAACAGACTGGGATAGATAGATAGATAGATAGATAGATAGATAGATAGGGAACAGACTGGGATATATATATATATAAATAAATATAGATAGATAGATAGATAGATAGATAGATAGATAGATATTAAACAAGTGCGACACTTGCAAAGGTAAATTGGTAATTCAATTATGTGTCCGAAAATCAATATGCATTTATCGTATGGATCTGAGTGTATTTTCCTCCTCTTAATCTTATTTTTGTTTTATATTTTACAAAGTTCTCTTATTCCATTTCGCATTTTCCCGCTTTGATGTCATGACTTCCAAGTTTGCAAGAGAATAAAAAGATAACATCGTTGATCATGATTAAAAACAAACAAAGTAAAAATTCAGAGAACAATGTTTAAGTTAGACGGAGGCGAAGATGCGCCAGTAATTATATGGTATAGGAAAAATAATAACTAAGGAGTTTAGAAGTTGTATCTTTTCCTTTTATTTTTTGTCACTTTTGTGTTTCCATAAATGGCAGCTTTACTTTGATTGTAGTGATAGCGGAACTTGTACTAATGGAATTGGTTCTCTGGTGACCCTAACAATTATTATTATTATTATTATTATTATTATTATTATTATTCAATTTGTTTTGTTTTCACACCAGTAATATCTCAAACATCATGTGACAACAAGTCTCTTCGATTCTCCAGCAATATTTTCTTTATTCTCGGTGGCCTTTGAGCTGAGATCAAAGTGTAGTATCTGCCTTCGGGCAAAAGAACTACTCTTTATCTCTTCTCGAAAAGAACACACACAAAAGAAAATTACGGGAAGCATGTTCGCGGAGATACCACCCATGCGGCAGCACCTCCCTCATTGCTCAACCCGTATATGAACTTGGGGTTCCCACTTTAAACCGGGCTTGTGCTATATCCCTTCAGAAACGTGTGAATAGCAAGTTTAGTATCTGTCTTCTCTTCCTCTTAAGAATCACGAGGAATGCCTATCCCGGTGATTCCAACCCTGCGGCAGTACCATTCTCTTTATAATAAAGGGAGCGGATTACTGGATAATAAACCAGTGGTCACTGAGACTGACCAAACAATCTTTGTTTTGGGTTCAGATCTACGTGTATGGGGGCTCTAGATTAAAAATGACATTGTGTCACATCCGATACTGTAGGGAGACGAGTAAATCACGCATCAAAATAAAGTATATTGTGTATGGGCAGTGCGTTTCCTTATAGGGATGTTTTATTTCTAGCCGCACTGAAGAGCTGTGCTAACGCGAAACAGTCTCTCTGTGGATGACAATATATATATATATATATATATATATATATAAAGAACAGTAAGATATATAATCCTGTGTTCTAATTGATATTTTTATTATTTACAAAATAATACTAAATGTAAACTTACAGAGCATTAATATTATAAATTAACTAGTTTAATATATGTTTTTGCTACACAGTAATGACCATGTTTCAAAAATGGAAGCTAAAAGCTTCAAATTTAATTTTGTAATTAAATTAAAAACATTTCTTATAATTTTATCCCCAAGCAAATTTTGGAGTAACTTACTTTTTAAATTTACTGAGTTTTAAAGTCACAGACAATTCATAATTCAACTGTTTCCAAGGATATAGAGAGATCCAATCATTCAGAAAAGGGGTGGTAGCGTGTTCATTTTTATTAACTTTTGTTGTATCAGTTATTAGTTACGTTCGAAAAAGGGATTATGTTTAGGTAAGGGTAGGGATGTATTTTTTCAACGAATACTGATATCCGTTAAATGCATGTCGTCGGCAGATATATATATATATATATATATATATATATATATATATATAGTCATCCACAGACTGACTGTTTCGCTGTATCATATCTCTTTGGTGTGGTTAGACGTCTGATTGATTCATGCCGGGATTGAAACTCAACCGATAAGTCAGAGATCCTACCCCTAAACCGTTGGCGCACGGCAGGGTTAAAGGGAAATTTTAGTGATTTTTCTATACGAAATACGCCAACGGTCAAGAGAACTCGATTCGTACCTGAAGAGTAATGTATTCATAGCAGCAGCAGCCACTGTTTTTATTAAATTTACCTTTTTCTCTCGAGAGCTCTATCGATGGGTCTCCGACAGTGGATATATAGTCATCCGCAGACAGACTGTTTCACTGTATGACAGCTATTGCAAAAAGGAATATATTTACTCTAAATATCTGTGAATCGAAAAAAGAACTACTATCAGTAATCTATTCTACTCATCGGGGAAGCATTTAATTTTTAAGTATTTTGCGGTGCGGGATGCTTCTTGGAGATTATCAGTTAAAAAGATAAATATAAGGTTAGATTTCAAATAATCTTATCTTCTTCAAAAAGACTTTTTTGAGGCGATAACGAAAACAAAACTCAATACTCTTAATCGAAATGTAATTTGAAAAAAAAACGAACTTTTATTAAAATAAAAAATTATTTTTATAAGATTAAAAAATAACAATTGCAGCGAATTTCCCTTATGTGTGTCAAAATAGTCGATGTAAAATAGCAGTTCTTGTGTAAGTTCAAATTCCAGATTTCTTTTAGAAAACAACACTTCCTGTAAATCAATATTCCTCTTTACTTTTGCTAGCATCATGTCCCGGCGTTGCCCGTGCTTAATACAGCAATGGCTATCACTTGACTTAAAATATTTTTGCCCTTCTTTGCCTTTAAAGGAGTGCCCTTTGCCGTGCTGATGTTGCTACATGCCTTACTTCTTGCCTTTATCCCACACTGAGAATTTTTATCTAAACTCTATACTAAACATTAAATCTGTCACGAAAAAAGAACTAAACAAAATGAACACAAAACGATCAGCTTTAAAAAGGACTCGTAACTGGAAAAACCGAATGAAAAAAAAAGAATGTTAACAACAAATACTTTTTTCACACCCAACCCAGTTCTGCGGAATCAGAATCAACGTTGAGTTTAATCAAGCGAATGAGCCAATTGGAGTAAAGTGCCATACAGATTTAAATTTTTCCCACTTGTGACGAATGCAGCTATCGATTTTTTTTTTGCATGCTAGCATGCTAGTTAATATTCGTGTCAGTCACCTGTTGGTTCTGACGCTGGCCAATAGAATCTTTCTGCGTATTTGTGGCAGCCAGCTATAGGCTCTCACTCTGGCCAGTAGAAAATGGCCGCAAACTACATGAAAACTTCCGTAGAAGCATGAAAAATCGATTATTTCCACTATTGATGGGAGTTGGGAAATGCAATGTCGGTCTTGGCATTTTTGCTTACTTGGAGCATGTGCATGTAAATTTTGGTACAAATCCGTCAAAAATTGCGGCCGTGAATT